ATATATATGTTTATAGCAGCATTACTTGTGTTAGCCAGAAGGAGGGAACAACCTAAATGCTCATCAATTGATGAATGGGTAAACAAAATGTGGTATATCCAAACAATGGAATATTATTTGGGCATCAAAGGGGAATATAGTAATAATAGATGCTGTAACATGCATGAACCTTGAAAACATTCTGCTACGTGTAAGAAGCCAGTCACAAATGACCACATATTATAATTCCATTTTTATGGCATTTCCAGAATAGGCAAACATAAAGCAACAGAAAGTAGATCTGTGGTTGGTTAGGGTTGGAGCTGAGCAAGAGAGGTTAGAAGCTGGTAACCAAAGTGTACAGGGTTTCTTTCTGAGGTGGTAAATATTCTCAAGTTGATTGTGGTAATTGTTGTAAAACTCTGTGATTATACTAAAAAAATAAGACTTTAAATTGTACCCAATAAGTGGGTAAATTGTATGGTATGTAAATTATATCTCAATAAAGACATCACAAAACATAGTGGTGTCAATGTTTAAAAATCATGAGAAGGATACCCTGGAAACTTAAAAACTAAAAATGATTTTAAAATTTAGGGTTAGTATCAGAATGTAGAAAAAATTATTTGTGGTTCAACAAAAAAATAAGAATTTGTTACTCACACTTGCTATTTATTTAAACAGCTGACTTCATGTCTAGGAAGAAGGCAGGTAACAGTTTTCAATTCTGAGGGGGAAAACTTGAAATAGAAATGTTACCTAAAACTTAAAAAAAAAAAACCCATAAAAGTGTTTTATTCAGAGTGCAATCCATAACCTTATTTTATTTTAATTTAATTTTAATTTTAATTTTTGTAGTGATGAGGCCTTGCCATTACCCAGGGTGGTCTCAAACTCCTGGCCTCAAGCCATCCTCCCACCTCAGTCTCCCAAAGTGTTGAGATTACAGGCAAGGGCACCACACTGTTCCTGTAACAGTATTTTAAACTTGAACATTCCCTCTCAGTTTCTGAGCATTTTTCTAAGTTTCTCAAGCTATTTTGTGACACATTCCAAATCAAGGTGTTTGGGCAACAATATAGATCAAGAATCGTAATCAGAAACATAGAAGCATAATCAGGAGAAAGTGGAATAATAGAAGCCAATAAAAAGCAGTTTTCCAAGAAGGAGGTCATAGTGAATATTTGCTGTCACAGAGACACCTAGTATGGAGAGACCTAGTAAAATAAAGACTGAAACATATCTGTGTTTCAAATTTTTCAGAATAAAATAAATGGATAATAAATGTAGAAGGCAATTTTCAGTTAGTTGAGAAGTTATTTACTACATATTATTTATTGATAGTTATATTTATTTCATTTGTATAGTTCTATTTTAGTTTTTTAAAATTCAGGCTTTCATTTACTATTTTTTTATTTCCTAGATTGTTAAGGTTTATATTTAGCTGTATTAATTTCTTACTTTTTCGCTTTCTTTATTGTTTTTTCTTTAGTTTTCAGATTTATTTGTTTAGAATTATTTATTCTCATTTTTATATTGTTGGACATATTTAAGCTAATATTTTATTCTGACTACTGCTTTAGTTATATCCTACAAATTTTGATTTCCAGGGAAATGTACAAACCGTTTTATTTTGCTTAAGTTTTAAATGTGTTGCACTATGATTAGAGAATATGACCTTTATTAATTTATTTGGAATTTAATTAGATTTTCTTTATGACCAAACATGTATGGAAAGTTTTTATGACTGTTTTATGTGTGCCTAAAAATAAGTATACTCTTTATTATTAGGGTACAGTGTTGATATAGATTCATAAAATATAAATTATTGATTGTTAGAATCTTCTATATCTTTGACTAATATTTTGTTCACTTCAAATATTTTAGACTAAAAAATTTATTAAATTTTCTTCCTATTTCCTGTCTTATATAGTTTCTGCTTTATTAAATTTACCATTGCATTAATTTATTATAGATACTTATAACCGAATTGTGTCTCCTTTTGCAATGAAGGTTTTATAAAAGGTCCTTCTTTGATTAATTTATTGTTTGTGGAAGGATTTCACTTTATCAAGCCTGGTATCCTCAATTTTTATTTGTCGTTTAAATTGGTTGTACTTTTAAATGATGTACTTTTTTTTTTTAAATACAGTTTTGGTATAGTCAACATAAATTAAAATTTATCTGTAAACCATAATTCTCAGCAAACTGACACAAGAACAGAAAGCCAAACACTGAATGTTCTCACTCATATGTGGGTGTTGAAAAATGAGAACACGTGGACTCAGGGAGAGGAGCATCACACACTGGGGGCATCTGGGGGCAGGTAGGGGAGAGACAGTGGTGGGTGGGGAGGGAGGGAAGGGTGGGGAGGGAAAACATGGGGAGAAATGCCAGGTATAGTATGCACCTAAAGTTAAATAAATAAATTAACAAAAAAATTTACCATCCTAATTATTTTTAAGTGCACAGTTTAGTGGCATTAAGTACATTCCCGTTACTGTGCAACCACAACCAGCATCCATCTCCAGAATTCTTTTTTTTTTCATTTATTTTATTGCATTTTAGGTTTTGGGGTACATGTGAAGAACATGCAAGATTGTTGCATAGGTACACACGTGGCATTGTGATTTGCTGCCTTCCTCCCTATCATCTACATCTGGAATCTCTCCCCTTGCTACCTCTCCCCAACTCCCCACCCCCCACCATCCCTCCCCTATTTCCCCCCAACAGACCCAAGTGTGTAGTGCTCCCCTCCCTGTGTCCATGTGTTCTCATTGTTCAACACCCACCTATGAGTGAGAACATGCGGTGTTTGATCTTCTGCTCTTCTGTCAGTTTGCTGAGAATGATGGTTTCCAGGTTCATCCATGTCCCTACAAAGGACACAAACTCATCGTTTTTGATGGCTGCATAATATTCCATGGTGTATATGTGCCACGTTTTCCCTGTCCAGTCTATCATCGATGGGCATTTGGGTTGGTTCCAGGTCTTTGCTATTGTAAACAGTGCTGCAATGAATATTCGTGTGCACGTGTCCTTATAGTAGAATGATTTATAATCCTTTGGCTATATACACAGTAATGGGATTGCTGGGTCAAATGGAATTTCTATTTCTAGGTCCTTGAGGAATCGCCACACTGTCTTCCACAATGGTTGAACTAATTTACACTCCCACCAACAGTGTAAAAGTGTTCCTATTTCTCCACATCCTCTCCAGCACCTGTTGTCTCTAGATTTTTTAATGATCACCATTCTAACTGGTGTGAGATGGTATCTCAATGTAGTTTTGATTTGCATTTCTCTGATGACCAGTGATGATGAGCATTTTTTCATATATTTGTTGGCCTCATGTATGTCTTCCTTTGTAAACTATCTGTTCATATCCTTTGCCCACTTTTGAATGGGCTTGTTTTTTCCTTGTAAATCTGTTTTAGTTCTTTGTAAATTCTGGATATCAGCCCTTTGTCAGATGGGTAGACTGCAAAAATTTTTTCCCATTCTGTTGGTTGCCGATTCACTGTAATGACTGTTTCTTTTGCTGTGCAGAAGCTGTGGAGTTTAATTAGGTCCCATTTGTCTATTTTGGCTTTTGATGTCAATGCTTTTGGTGTTTTGGTCATGAAGTCCTTGCCTATGCCTATGTCCTGAATGGTTTTGCCTAGATTTTCTTCTAGGGTTTTTATGGTGTTAGGTCTTATGTTTAAGTCTTTAATCCAACTGGAGTTAATTTTAGTGTAAGATATCAGGAAGGGGTCCAGTTTCTGCCTTCTGCACATGGCTAGCCAGTTTTCCCAACACTATTTATTAAACAGGGACTGCTTTCCCCATTGCTTGTTTTTGTCTGGTTTGTCAAAGATCAGATGGTTGCAGATATTTTGTGTTGCCCTCAAGACCTCTGTTCTATTCTTTTCCTCTTGTAAGACTAAAGCTCTGCACCCACTGAACAACTTACCATTTCCCTCTCCTTCCAGCTTCGGGCAACTACCATTCTACTTTGTGTCCCTATAAATGTGTCAATGCTAGGTGTCTCATGAGTAAAATAGTGCTTTTAATACAGTAGTATTTTTAATTGTCAATGCTAGGTATCTCATATGAGTAAAATAATACTTTTAATGCAATACCATATAATATAATAATATTTTCTTACTGTAACTGACTTACATAATTTAACATGATCACCTCAGGTTAACATCTTACTGTGGTTTTGATATGCATTTCCCTAATGATCACCGTGGGACATCTTTTCATGTGTTTATTGGCCGTTTATATGTCTTGCCTGAAGAAATGTCTATTTATATTCCTTACTCATTTTTATATTGTGTTATTTGCCCTCCTATTTTGAATTCTGAGAGATTTTTATACATTCTGGATAAAAATCACTTATGAAGTATATGATTTTTAAGTATTTTCTCCTCTTTCCTAGGTGGCTGTCTCACTTTGCTGGTTGTGTACTTTTTTCTACCCCTTCTTTTCTTTTTAATTATTTTGAAGAAGTTAGTTTTAGTTGTGCCTTTTGCAGACAATATTGAGCTTGGTTTTGCTCTGGAACCAAATAAGAAAATCTTTCTCTCTTCTAATAGAAGATTTAAGTTGTTTATAAGAATTTTATAGGTTTTTTAAAATATCTATAGTGTGTGCACATATAGCTTTATAAAACTTTTCACTATATGGTCTATTTTCATTGTTCATCATATTGTTGCTATTCCTGCTGTTGCAGTAGTTTTTGCATTTATTTTGCTTTTAGGAAGAAGGTATTTTTAGGTAGTTTGTTTATGCTGTTATTATAAAATAATACCCTACTTTTTTCACAGGTTTGTGGCAATGTGTATTTGTTGTTATCATAAAAATAAATAAATAAACAAAATTGGCTTACAACTTCTTTCTTTCTTTTCCTTCTTTCCAACTCCTCCATCATCTAAGTTTATTCAGTGTTAAGATCTTTCTTGGTGTTCATATTGGCTCTTTTAAATATGCTTAGAATTCCACTATTCCATTTCAGCTTTAAATTTTATTATTACACTACCACCTATAACCTACTAAGGAAGAAATGAAGGGAAGGAGGGACAGAAGAAAGATAAGTAAAAGAAAGAATATAAGGAGGATAAAACAATTGAAAAGTCCACCAATGAAAGAATAAATAAATTATGCTACCTCTAGCTTATGAAATGCTATTCAGTTATTATAAAGAATAATGTCAACCTATATATGTTGACATGACAATAGTTTATTTTATTTTGGGTGAAAAAATAAGTCCTACAACAATATGTACATTATGATATGTAATATGTAGCCCACTTATATATAAAAAGCAATGTGTGTGTAAATACATACTTAAGTGTGTATATTTACATCTGGGAAGAAACAGAGCAAACTCTTTACAGTGCTAATCTCTGGACTGAGGAAGTAAATCGGAGGTATTACAGAGAATAAGGAAAATTATATACCTAATGTTATTTATATTTGTATTGTTTGAATTGTTTTACAATGTCAAAGAGCTGCTCTTTTATTTTATGAAAATAATAAATTACTTTAAAATGGTAATTTAAAAAAATCTTGTCATAGAGTAATTTACTTGATGCTAAGTAGATACATTAACTTTGTGTTTTCTCATGAGTTGTTTCTAAAGTATGTAATGACAAATTAAAAGGCCTGTCAAATTGAAACCTTGCATATTGTCTATTAACTAGTCTTTTATTTAAATTTGAGAAGTGTATTAGGCAAATTACTTCTCAGTTTTGGTTAGGCTTTTTAGACTCCCCATTGCCTCCATTTTTTTCTCAAAGGAATCATGTTTGGTTTCCCTGAATTTGGGTTTAATGTGTAATGTTCTCTAGCATTTTGATCTTTCTTCTTTCAAGACAGATATCAATAAATTCTTAACTTCCTTTTGAAAAATTAAAGTTTCTCTGTGCAGAACCAGGCAGCATCCTTCTAAGTTTTGGAATATCCTGGGACAATCACCATGTTAGTGATTTTTTGATCTTTGACTTAGTGTCCTATACTACAAGGATGGCAAATCTTCTAAGCAAAGTTTGCTTTCCTATTCATCAGGATAAAATTATTTTACAAAATAAAATTTTTTAAAAAGCAAAATGGTGGTTATTGTAACATTATTTTCAACATCTCACAAATCTAACTGAAGTGATAATTCAATGAAACTATTGCAATTTGCCAAATCACCTGTCTAGATTGTGCTTTTTTTATCAAGCAATCTTTTACTTCTGCCATCATCTCACTTTCTGCATGACCCACTTTCTCCCCTTTCCTCAATCCTTCAACTTGTCTTCCATGATAACCCTCCACATTCTTAGTAAGTGACTTCCCTTCCTCCACAAGGGAAATAAAAAAACACATGACATGAACATCCTAATTCCTGACACAAATCCACTCTTCCCAGGCAAGGACCATGCCCCTACTTATGGCATTGGTCCCATCTCTTACTTTTTCAATAATCTTCTATAATCTGTCATGCAAGACTGTCTCAGCATCTCTTACCTGTCCTTCGTTACTTCCACCTGTCCTTCATTACCTCCACTGGTCCTTCATTTCAATTTAATGTAAATATGCTCAAACTTCTCCCATTTTATTAAAAAAGACTTCCTTTATTTCTGTCTCCTCATTCACTGTTGCACATGTTGGCAGGCTCACTACATTCATGTTTCTGATTTTGTTGTACCTTAAATTTATTCCTTATTCTACTCTAGTCTCAATTTCATACTAGATGCTCTTTTTTGCAAGGTAATCAATAATCAAGTAGCATTTTTAGTCTCCATCTCTTCTGCTTTTTATTCAAACAGTTTGGCCATTTCTTATCAGTTTCCTTTGCTGTATCTTGTCCTATTCCCAAACACTAAACTTGCGGCACCTCAAAGCTCTGAAGTAGGCCCACATACATCTTCACCCTGAAAAACTCATCCATTACCTTAGTTTTATCAAACATTTACTGATTTATGACTCCAAAGTATGCCTGGTGCTCTGTTGTGATACCCAGGCTTATGTCACTTACAGATTGGGCTACCCAGGGAAGTGGGCTTTGAGATGGATAGCAGACAAGAGGACTTTCAGTAGCATTCTTGGGCTTCACACCTGTGGATGAGAAGGGAGGGAAGTCAAAAGGGAGAAGCTGAGCTGCAATGTCGTGTCAACCACAGGCCTCAGCCAATACTACGCAGAATTCAGAAGCTGAAACGACTCTTTGGAGCTGTCCTGAGTTTGGGTTAGGGGGCTTTTCTTCATAACTTCTGTTGACCAATTATTAGTGTAGACCCCCCTGGGAAGGAGCTATGACCTTAGAGAGACTTCCTTTAGCTGAGGCAACCCCTGTAGGGAGCTGATAAGTGAGAGCTCCTAGTAGCTGGAAAAGTAGGTCTTTCTGTTTCTGAAGGAAATCTAGGTGGTTCATCAAAGCAGCAACCATAAGAATCAAGTGCTTACTGGGGGATCACTTGAACCTGGGAGGAGGAGGTTGCAGTGAGCTGAGATGCTGCCACTGCACTCCAGCTTGGGCAACAGAGTGAGATTTTGTCTTAAAGAAAAAAAGAAAAAAAAAGAATCAAATGCTTACTTAGTATTTTCACTTGCCATCTTACCTCAAAAGTACATTTCCAAAATTATTAATAAACTCTTCTTGCTAATTCCCACTCCCACCCATTGCTTCTCCTTCCCATTCTTCCCATCACAGTTAGATGGCCATCCCATTCACTTTGTCACCAAAACCTAGGAGTCCCCCTGAACTCTTTTCTCTGCCTCACTGTCCCCCACATCTAATCAATTATCAGTCTAATGATTTCACATCCTAAATATCTTATTTCAGTCAGTTTGTGCCATCCTGCTGCTGCCACCAATAAATGACTACCGTATCTTTCCTGCATGATTGCATTATTTTCCTCAGTGATTTCTCTTTGCCCACATTTTTCCCCTTCAGATCAGTCTCTCCATATTACAGTCAGTGATGCCTTCAAAAAATTCCCAGTAAGCATCGCATTCCATTTAGTGACATATAAAATCTTTAATTTGACCTACAAAGGCCTTCACAATCAGGGCTCCAATCTCTCCAAGCTTCACTTACTCCTCTCTGTCCTTCACTCTTTTCCACTCAATCCATACTGGATTTTTATTAGCTTCTTGGAAACGCCATGTTTTTTGCTGTTTTTCATGTTCTTCCTCTACATGAATTCTTATCTTTTCTCCCTTCCAATCTCAGCCTATATATCACTTCCTCACTGAAAACTTTTTTATAACACCTGGGACTAAGCAGTATCATCTGGTGTTTGTTTACTGACAAAGATGGTGTCTGTGCTGCCATGCTTCATTTTGTAAGGATTTGCTTATATCTTTCTTCTGCTCTGAGAGACAAGCTTCACAAGAGCAGAAGCAGTGTGTGTCTTCTTCATTGTTTTATTTTCAATGCTTAGTGCAATGCCTAGCATGTGGTCTGAGATTTGACTTTGCATTTGCCATTCCTTTTACTTGAAATGTCTTTTCTAGTCTCATAAGCCTCAGATTTGCTTTTACTATTTTCCAAGAAGCTTCTTTTAACCCACCCATACAAAAAAAAAAAAAACTAATACTACGTCCTTGGTCACCACTTTACTTTGTACATGATTCCACAGTTGCACTTTTCACATTTTTATATCTTTAGCATTTGGAGTTGACTTTCAACTGCATTGACTAAAGAATTTTTTAATTTCCTCTCAACATATAAAAAATCAGTCCTTTTCACAATTAACAAATCAGAACATATGGCAATACTGGATACATATTCCCCCATGATAATCATCTACCTTGAGCAAAGTGGTTGTACAGGTTAAACAATGCATGCCTTCTCCAGTTCACTGGACATATCACTAGAGAAGCCACAGTCATCCTCCATTCTGAGTTTGCAACCACTAGCACAAGTTTATCTTTTCTATTAAATAACTAGTTCCTTACTTTGTGAGTTCTTAGAAATAACAAGGTGAATTTTAATCATTTGGAATCCTGCACTCCCCAGCATATTTCCTGAGATATAGCAGGTATTCAATAATGTTATTTAATTGAGAGACTGATAAATTGATTTTAAAAGACTAATGCTTTCTTGTTGATTTTTTATTTTAAAAAAAATTTCCATTTTTATGGGATCCACTGTGAAGAACTACTATAGGAGATTAATTAAAATAATGAATATGAACCAAGGACAGTTCTGAAATATACATGTTTACCATTGAATGAATTAATACTTATTTAATCCACAAAATTAGGTCAGGTGTGGTGGCACCATTTCCAAAGGAAGCTATTTCATATCCAGAAGTAGAGAGTTGTACTTAGGGCATTTGAGAATATCATCATAACCAGAAACTAAGATCTTGAGTTAGAATAATTGAATAGCTTCCAGAAAGGAAAACTTGTTATAATACCAACAATCGGTCCTGACAGGGGTTCTAGTATCTGGTTACTATTGCTATTACATATGCTTACGAATGAGCAGAAATAACAATCGGAAGCATAACTCTCACTTCAAACAAAAAAATGACAATGTTGCTGCTTCATGTCTCCAGCAGACCTTGATAATACTGACACTCGTTTTTTGGTGCTTGTAGAACTCTCTTATTTCAGATTTTGTAATCTGCATGATTCCAAAAAGCATCTGATCTAAAAACATAATTGAAACTGTAAAAATTTAAAATACCAAGAGTCCTGTGAGACAGAGGTGGGTGGATCACTTGAGGTCAGGAGTTTGAGACCAGCCTGGCCAACATGGTGAAACCTCATCTCTACCAAAAATACAAAAAAAAGGAGCTGGGCATGGTGGTACCTGCCTGTAATTCCAGCTACTCCGAAAGCTGAAGCAGGAGAATCACTTGAACCCGAGAGGCAGAGGTTGCAATGAGCTGAGATCAGACTGAGTGACAGAGTGAGGCTCCGTCTAAAAAAAAAAAAAAAAAACAAATCTCTTTTTTCAACTGTGTCTTTTTGACAGTATTTGAGCACATGTTCAAATATGGTAGTACACTACCTCATAAACAATTTGGTCATTAACCTTGTAGCAAATATTACAGTTAATTTTAAAAGTTTTTTACATTTAGAAAGTCAGAAAGGCAGTCTTTTCTGCCTTTAATAAAGCAGATCCTCTAATATAGCATATAGTTTCTTACCTCTAATGTGACATAACTTTGAATTAAATTTAACAAAAAGCCTTAATATTAATAAAGATGATGACAAATGTGAATGCAAAACTTTTACACATATAGTGTACAGAAAACAGTGATATAGTCCAGACAATGGGCATTAGGAAATAAAAATATTTTGATGTGTAGATTAATTTGTAACATTAATCAAGATGGAAGACATACAAAAGAGATTAGGTTCTATGTCAAATCATACAAATTAAAATTAAACAAGATTTATTGGTTTTTATTCATAATGTTCAGCACAATTTACATTCAAATATTTAAGCAAGGAAAAACTCAGATGTTTTTAACTTATTTCCTCTCAAATTATGTTTTATAAGGAATTTCATGATGTATTGAAATATGATTCCTCTTTCTGCCATTCATTTCCTTGTTATAGATTCTTGATAAGACACAGTCCTTGAGGAGAAAAAGAGAGATTTTTGAAAAAAGCATCAACTGTAGTCGTGTTTATTACAATCTTAGCCTTTCAGCTTTTCATATCATGAGTCATTGTTTTTATTAAGTACTAATAAGGACAAATGATCTTACTTGGTAAATAATATCACTAGTTCCCTTTTAAAAACTCAACATTATTAACTACACTACTTACCATTTGTTAATATATTTCTACGTTTTTACTTTTTTCTCTTGAAAGTCAGAAATTCATACTGTACCAAAACACTTAAATAGCATATAACTTTTTTACCACCCTGATTTTACCACAATTAGAAATAAAAATAAAAATTTTCCCTACTATTGTGTGTCTTTTAAATATTTTTTTAATAGAGTGGTCAAAGCATCTAAAAAGCTGACTTTATGTAGTTCATACAGTTCATGGTTTGCAATTTTAAAAACAGGTACACATGCTCTTTGCCACTACTTATATTTTTAATATTCTTAGTTGAACAAAAAATATAATTTCCATTTTTTATATAGTGTCCTTAAAAAGGATTAAAATTCTGATCTTACAAAATGGTTTACATAATTTTATTATACTCTTTTAACATTTCTGTAAGAAAAGAGTCAAATTATTTTCTGTAAGTGGCAAAGGATATATTTTTTAAATTGTCATGTGAGGAAACACTCTAGTATGTGATTTCCAATAGTTACATAAAAATGTGTTCCTGAAAATAAATACCTTATTTTCCAACCTTTATTAGTAGTGCATGAACTTATATTGAGAAGTAGGAGAAAGTGAGATTTTGTCTTTATCATAGAATATATGTTAATTTTTTCACATTTAAATATTGCACATATAAATTAATTTATTTTTCCATTTGCCAAAATGTCACAAATATCAAATGGCAAGCATTGCTTTCACTTCAGACAATTCAGAAAGCCTGCTGAATTAATTAACACTTCCAGTTGTTTGCTTGGTATAAAAAAGAAGTGAAGAAAATACGACTATTTTTTCTTTCCAATTGCCATAAAGTACAAGTGCTGTAGAACATAACATTTC